TGGGTCGAAGGTGCGTACGGGACAATACCGTAAAATTTCATCTCCGCAGCTTTCACCGTTCCCAGGCAATAATTTCCCCACCAAAGCATTGGCAGGGTCACATGTGGTAATTGCGGGTAAGTGAAGGCCGTACTTGGTACCCCAGGGTAAAAGGAAACTGAATTCAAACCCGAGAGGTGATAACCAGCCGGGGAAAATCCTATTAAAGAATTTTCAGCTTCCTAGCTTTCGTGGTTCCCGACATAACAATTTTTCCAGCTAAAACTTGCGCAGGGTCGTACGTGGGCAGTTGAAGGCCGAATTTAAGTTTGATATGAGTTGCACGTGGGTGAGGAACATTTCGCCAAAATCTCGGCGTCCCAGCTTTCGTGGTTCCCAAGATAATAAATTTTGCAGTCAAAATTTTTGCGGATCATGGTAGTACCCACTGGTAACTGAGGACCGAATTTAAGTTTACGAGGTCAAACATGAGGCGAGGAACATTCTAGCAACGTTTCAGTGCTTCAGCTTTCATGGTTCCTTAGATAATTATTTCCCCCACCAATATTTTGGCGTGGTCATACTTGGTAACCGCTGGTAACTGAAGGCCGAATTTAAGTTTGCAGGGTCACTCGTGGACGGGGAGCATTTTTGCAAAATTCCAGCGTCCCAGCTTTTGTGGTTCCCCGTGACAATATGCGTTTTGTACTGCTGTTACACAGCACAAAACGCATAAAAGCTGATAATCATGCACCTGGATGTCCGTGAAGGTCTATAATGCGTCACCTTCATCCAAACCGGCGCCCTTCCTGCTGCGTGCCGGAAGGGGCTAAAGTATGGCAATATGAGCACAGGCATTAAGCTACAGCTTTGTGTTTGCCTTTCAAAGGCCTAAAGGAATAAGAATGTACAAACGTTTGTGATAAAACAACACACGTTTTTCTCATGAAAATCCAGAGCTTCCCCAGGTCCTCTTTTCCAGGTGAATTTGCTAACAAAATGAAATACGGCACAACCGCCAAATGGAAGTACAATGAATCGATTGTGCTGTGTGGTACCAGTCATGCCCCACACACCCACACGCAGTCGTCGTACACACCAGTTACAGCTGGTGTGCACACCACATGTAGTCTCTATTCAAACCACGTGTAATCCCCCATACACGTACGGCGCCCTGTACCACACACGGACACTGAGCACCACCACACACCGCCCCCGCACACATTACGCACAACAACTCTGCAGACGCGCGTAAGGCATAAGTGAGATGTATTCCGAATCGGCGTTGCAAACGCGGAGCGACCCGACGGCGTACGGCTACTATCAGTTGCGATAGCTGGCAAATTCAAATTCATGTCATGTGCTAGTGGCGGTAAATTAGGCGAGGGAGGGGTGCAGAGGCGATACCGCCCAATTCATTGGTATCCTGACCTGGGCGAGAGAGGAGAAGGGGAGAGGGGAGGGGAACAGCGAAATGCAGTGGTAGTTAGAAATGAGGGGTGCACTAGTTCACCTCACCTCCAGAGCTGCGAAAGCTAGGAAGTTGAAGTTGTCCTAGTCAATGTGCGGGGTAGTGATGGGCCACTAATTCGTCGATTCGCTCAAATGATCAAATCCGTCCTCAGCTGAATGGCGGCATAATGTGGAACCCTCTTCTTTCCTTCCTATTCCCCCTCTGTGAGAAACGGCACTTCAAAGTTTGATGCAAAAACGCATGGTGGCACCGGCTCGCCTGGTGCGTTCCATCCTGAGTTTATTTCTCAAGACAGTTTCTAAACCCTTAAAATTTCTTCTGAAACAGTAAGTAGCGTAGGGAGTAACAACTGCTTTTGAGGGAAAAAACTAGGGGATAATAGTGTGTTGGAAGGGAGGCTCTGAAGCTACTTCCTGGTTATCTGCATAAGTAGTGATTATCTGCATAAGTAGTGATTGTCAAGTCAGTTGCAGTTTCATTATGCTTTGTTAAGTGATTTGAGGTTTAGGCGGTGAATGTTCAGTCGCAGAAGGTACATTTGCGAGTCACCTCGCCATCCGGACAAATCAGCAAGTGGTATGATGGCACTGATGAGGCCACGTTCACTGGAGTAACTGAGGAACCGGGTAATAATTTAAAGCAGTTTTCTCAAGGTATTATACTTTTAGGCACTTCAGCTTCAAATTGTCCTATTCTGCATTGCACCAGTATCAGAAATATTAGCATGCTTCGAACACTTGGTTGCCAAGTGTGCTCTATTGATCGTACATCTACTGGCTTGTGCAGAGAAGATGGGGCTGGGAGTGTAAAAAAAAGCAAAAGTGGCGAAGCAAAATGGCTTAATTCATAAACCGTTTTTTTTCCCCTATGTATTTATGTACATTCATTTCGTTGAATGAATGAATATGAAGTATTCAGACAAATACGGAAGCGCAAGTGATGAAAGGCCATGTATGTCTTCGTCCTCCTCGGGAATTTTGCTTGTTTCCTACAATCAAAACACCAGCGGCAAATTGAGTAAAGATGCATTTGACGTTAGAATGGAGTTGCCCCCTGAAAGACTGCCAATTGCGTTCAAAAATATTAAATTGCAGGAAATGCCTGAATAAACAGCGTGAGTGATGATTCCATATTTGTCGGAGGCAATTATGCTCAGTTCTTCGACCCTGATCTGTTCTTTAATACGTGCGGGCCATCTTATCAGAGCTCGTTTACCATTTCAGGACTTACTAATAATTGAGAAATATTTCAGGCATATATGAAATCTGTGCAACAACAACAGTTAAGACGGGTCAGTTCGTACGGTTGGCACTAATAATACACGTGCAAGATCAGAGTTTGTTGAGCAGCTACCATGAAAGGTATTTGGCCCAAAAAAATTTGGAAAACAACGTTAAGGTGAACGATTTTCTTCTTGATATTCTTCTGCCAAAATTCACATATTCAACAAATGCAAGTACCGAGCGACAAGGATATTTGTTGCAACTAACAACATAACACATTATTTTTAGGAAGCGGGCAATTTTCAGCTTTTTCGAAAACCGAAAAAGAGTCATACCAAAGAGCAGAAGATAGGGACTTATGGTCGAAAAGGATGCGTGAAGGGATTGGACAAAATTTGTAAGGGAATGTTAGAAACTTTACAAGTATCTTCCTTCAAAATCCCCGTTTTGTTCCCTGCCGAACCGAACACCATGAAAATGCTAAATTTGCAGGTCTACACACTTATAGCTGTACCTCTCTACGATGCCATCCAGGCAGTTTCAAAGTAGGAATACAGTGGTGCAGCTGCAAACTGATGCAAGTGAATGCGCTAGCGAAATAATGGTCCACCCCGTCCCCGAGAATGCATAAGTGATAACACAGTGCATTTGCGCGGCTCAGTTCTAAAGTTGCGCTGTTATCTCGAAAAATTGGTTTATCTTCCTTTAGTTCTTTTCATGTAAATCTTGCTCTATTTCACTGCATTCAAAAAATGGCGGGTAATAGTCGTATGTATTTTTCTGTTAGGATTAACAATGATGCGAAATGCCCCTTTCCAAACGTGGCTTGGAACTATTCGCCCGAAAATTCAGTTTCTTAACTCTTCTTCTTTCTTCTCCCATCTTACTTTTGTCACATTATATTGGCTACGTGAGGACTGTGCTGATAGTCTCCGCTTCTCCTGCGCCTTAGTTCCCGGTCTGTGTTTAGCTTTTAATGTGAAACACAGACATACTACTTAAATGACCAGATTACTAAGTTGAGAAATGCAATCCTTTTTATCCTTCTTTTTTCGGCCTCGTTTTCCTGCTAATCCCCTTTTCATTCCATTATTAGGCTAGTAATTAGTCTTTTCCAGCCATCGAACGATCACCCTAAGAGACTGGTTAATAACATTAATAATATTCTCTTCATCATCTCCACCATCACATTCCTGATTTTCTTGCTACTCTATTTTTTATGCGTTTTTTGCATATATGCAAATTGCAAAAACTCATATTGACAAGAGGCTGTCTGTGTGTGTTTGCGTGTGTCCGTGCGTTCGCACTTTTCGTCACTACTTCCAACCCGAGAGCCAAAAATGCTAAAAGGCTAAAACTTCGGGAGTATGAGCCCGCCACCTGTCGGGCCCTTCCATCTTAATATCATCACCCATGTATGCCTGCGCTGCGTACGGACGCTTAAAAAAATATACAATTTTTTTGGCGGGAAAGCAACCTCAGGAACCAGGCAAGGTAAGGGCTTGAAACTTTGCAGAGTATTCTCTATGCATATGCGAGCTAAAAATTTCAAATTCAGCCATCGCTCACGCTTATAATAAGATAAAATAACAAAATAAAATGTTGGAAAAATACTGCGCGTACGGTCGCGCCAAAGCTCGCAGTTGGCACTGTGCTAACTCGAAAACGGGCCAGAAAAAAACTAGCTGAAATTTCGTCAGAATATTTACCATTCGCATGGGAAATTGTATACCTAAACTGAGTTCCGACTTGCACTTACGCCACAACTTAGGGCACTCCAAAGATGTTTGTAGTGAAGTGGCTTTTTCGCTTACCGGACAAACTAAAAAGTCGAAACTTTGCGAAGGTGCTCTACAGGCAGTGTGGTGTTAATTCAGTTTGAAGGTGAAGTTTCCTGCGCGCAGACGTGAAAAATACTCAATTTTATTGCAAACTCGAAAGCGAGTGTATTTTGCAGATCCCATAATCCTCTTCTGGATTTCTTCAAATTTGCATTGTTTCAAAGAGCGAGCATTTATCGAAAAAATGACCGGACTTCATGCAGAAAACTGATAGTCATGTACTTGAAGGTCAGTACGGCCCTACAATGCAACTTCTTTATCCCAGCCGGCGCCCTTTCTCGCTACGTGCCGAAAGAGGCAAAAAGACGGCCAATATTAGTTCAAGTGTTACGCTACAGCGCAGGAATCATTTCTACTACTAGCGACCTGTAAGTTTCACGTAAAAACGTATGATCGCACCGGCAGGCCTGGTACGTTACAGCATGAGTTGCTTCCAAACCAGTTTAGTTGCAATAATAGTTTTGGAATAGAAAATCATATAACACATACAAGCATATACACACACATACACACACATTCATACTACTATGAACTTACCTTGCCTCAGCACTTTTTATGCGTTTTTTGCAGCAATGCAATGTGAAAAACGCATATTGATGAGAGGTTGTTTGTGTGTGTGTGTGTGTGTGTGTGTGTGTGTGTGTCTGTGTCTGTGTCTGTGTCTGTTTGTGCGCTGCGCGTCTGTACCGATTTTTCATCTCGAGACCCACAAAAGCTGCAGGGCTGAAATTTTGGGGATTTAATCTACATGCACGTACGGGCACCATCCCCAAAATGGGCGGTCTTTCCCACGTAAGGGCCCGCCAAAGTTTTTTACGGGTAAGCTGCTAACTCGCGAACCAGAAAAGCTAGGCCGCTGAAATTTTATGAGAATGTTCCCCGTCCAGGTAGGTTCTAATGAGCTCACACCTAACCCCCGGGTAAGCGTGGTACCCGCGTACGAGCCCGCCAAAGTTTTTCCCGCATAAATTCATAACTCGGGGCTCTGAGATGCTAGAAAGCTGAAACTTTAAGGGGATGTTCCCCGTCCGAGTAAGTCTCAGCGAGCTCAAACCCAGACATCGGGCATGCGTCGTACCCGCATGCGGGCCCGTGAAAGTTTTTTCCAGTAAGTTGCTAACTCAGGAGCCAGGAAA